TCTTGGGAAAAGATACTAAGAGGCACCATTTCTGGATTAAAAAAAAATCAAGATAGTCTCATTCATAAAAAAAAATATTAAAAGAGAACTTACTGGCATAACAGACATTAGCAACCTGTGTTTTTCACCATGTTAGGCAATTTCTCCAGTTGGTCACAATCACATAGCATGTCATAAATATGTAACTCAAGAAAGAGTAAGGACAAGGATTTTTATGATGGATTTGCTGTTCCAGTGGCTGTGCTTGAGACTCATCAGAATGACTTTTAGGTTTGATGAACCTCTTTCATGAACCCTGCTGTAGGTGCCGAAGTGCCTCTCTGCATTCTCCCTGACTTACTCTATCCCTGTTTTAATTTAATTAACAAGTACAGCCTTACTACTGATGAAACTGAAGGGACTTGATTTCTCATTTGTACCTGCATTAAGAGACACTCACATCAGAGTTAAGATACCAGGTTGAAAATAATTTCCAAGTAGTGCTGGTGCTGATATTCCTGTACTTGCAGAGCTTTTAAGCATCTTAAGTGTGCACAGTCTTTCTGACTGTTAATACCAGTGCCAATTGCTTTAGAATAAAATACATATCCCTACCAACAAAGGTGAATACTGTGTATCACTCTTTATACAGTGGTATGGTATAATGCAACTAATAAATAACATGCTCTCTTCTAGCAGGGACAGGACACCTCACATACTGCCTGCACTTCATTACATGCACCAGTGACCTCAAATCAGAACATATTTCTCAACTGGATCCAGTTATTTTCTGATGATTGTTTTGTTGCTATTATGTTCTGCATTCCATGGTTCTTTTGGCTATTTAAGAGAGACTATCAGCATGTTCAGATGAGATGGAAGGAAAGAAATGTTTTTTTTCTAATCTTTCTTGTTAGCTGAAGTAACTAAATAGGTTTGCAAGATATTAACATATGCAATAAAAACCATTTCATATTAATGGAAAATAACTGGCACAAAAAGTATGTGGCATCAGTTAAGTGCACGCATGTCCCAGGTAATGCAAAGAAATTTTTGAGACACTACTGGAATCAAAGCACAAAGAACATCTGCTTGAGACTAATACTTCTTTGGCCAACTACCTCAGCTACCACTGAGATCTTTCCTTTACATGTTTACTGTGGGTTTTTTTTTTTTTCTATCGATTGCATTACATTTTCCAGGGTATCATTTAGGCAACCAGATCTCTGCTTTCTTGCATTCACATCAGGAGGTAAAACACGTCTAACAGTCATCAGTTCTACGGTATTTCACACTAATTCTAAGAACTAGTATAAACTTAAGATAAACAGAAGAGAGACAGAAAACATATGAGCTAAAGGACAATCACTGTCCTCTATCTGCATGCAATTTGGGAAGGAAACCTCTCAAGTAAAAATTCAAAGAAAATATTCAAGATTAATAAAAAAGAATAGCCTGCATTTAAAATATGAAAATAGAAGTCAAAAAGGATCTTTAAGACCAAACATACTCATAATCTTAAAATTTGGCTCTTAGTACTGTGATTATCTTAAAAAAAATGCATAGGCAGAAAAAGGTAATTAGAAATTAGAATACAAAAGATAAAAATCCATTTCAAGTTTCAAGACAGATGCCACTTTTAGCTGGGATTAGTGAAGGTTTAATATCTATTGGCAAATGACTGTTTCTATGAGAACGGTCAGCCCTCCCTGCCCTCAGCCTGTTTGTTCAAGACAGCAGGTGATGACATGCCACAAACGCAGGCTCTGGAGGTCGTTATTTGTGCTACCACTCTGCCATATAGTTTGATGGAAAAATTCCTATTCTTATTTAATGGCTGATATTATCACTCCATAACAGATTGAGTTGGACTGTGCTATAGCGCTGCTGAACAGTAAAATCAACCAATAATAAACTCAGAGCAAAAGAGAAAACATAAATCTCTTCTCACGATATTTTAATTAAATTCCATAAGAGCTAGTAATTTTAGCATTACAGTCTGTATGTTGTTGGGCTTTTTTTGTTTGGTTTGGGTTTTTTATTTACCAGTGAACTGAAAATCATAGAGAGAAACTTGATCAAAGTTGGGTTTTATGTGACTTACTCTGCGGTGGTGTCAGTGAAGACTGAGGTCAAAGTGTCTAAGTATGAGACAAGCACATAATGCAGTGCCAGCCAGTTGTCCTAACTTGAACTTTGATTTTGCTGCCCTTGCTGGCACTAGACGTCCCCCTCTAAAAATCTCACACACATGTTATTTTTAGAAGAGTTATTTAGTGATTTTATACCCTATAATTGTAGCAGGTACACAGAAGCGCATCCACATTGACTACATGCATTCTGCAAGGGAATCCAAAATTACCGCTTTAGAAAAAGAGGTGGGAAGAACCCACACTGGCAAAAAGAACCCAACAAAACAACCCAAACCCAATTTGGATTAGGACGATAAAGCTTGATTTCTGTTAACACTGACTATAGTGTTAAAACTAAGATACCAATACTTGTTTGCTTGGGAATTTCAGACTTTTTCTTCTAGAAAGAAAGCATTTACAGATACTGCAGATACTGAAATGGATATGCCACTGAAGCATAACATAGGGTCTCACTGTGGTTAAAGCCACAAAACCAACACTTGCATTTTTTACATGAAGTAATAAATGTTGAGGACAGGGGAAAGGTAAACCTACTGCCTGTTTTGTTAGCTGCCTCTCATCCATCACCTTACAGAACCGTGCTCATGAAGGAAAGACAGTGCTGCATCAACTATCGTCATAACTTACTGAAAGCCTTCTTAACAGCATAGATTCTGCATTACAGCAGCTGAACTCATAAAGACAGACATATACAGCGCCTCTTCAAGCTGTTTAGGTCAGAACATGATCTAAACAGTCAACAGAAATGCGATAAAAGTCTCCATTACTGGGAAGTACTTATGGTACATACAAGACGTAGGAAAACCAGCATTGAAAACAGGTGTTAGATATTATTCAAGTGGCATGACCCCTCAATGCTGACCTGGGATATTTGCTTAGCCATCCCTTTAAATGCAGAAAAAAAATGTTTGTATTCCTCCTAAGCTTCACTATAAATAAAAGCATCAGGAGAGTGTGTCCCAGCACTTCCTGATACCATTTCATAGAATCATAGAATAGTTAGGATTGGAAAGGACCTTAAGATCATCTAGTTCCAACCCCCCTACCGTGAGCAGAGACACCACACAGTAAACTGTCGCCCAAGGCTCTGTCCAGCCTGGCCTTGAACACCTCCACGGTTGGAGCATTCACAACTTCCTTGGGCAACCCGTTCCAGTGACTCACCACCCTCACTGTGAAGAACTTCTTCCTTATATCTAATCTAAACTTCCCCTGTTGAAGTTTGAACCCATTACCCCTTGTCCTACCACCACAGTCCCTAAAGAAGAGTCCCTCCTTATAGGCCCCCTTCAGATACTGGAAGGCTGCTATGAGGTCTCCACGCAGCCTTCTCTTCTCCAGGCCGAACAGCCCCAACTTTCTCAGCCTGTCTTCATACGGGAGGTGCTCCAGTCCTCTAATCATCCTCATGGCCCTTCTCTGGACTTGCTTCAACAGCTCCATGTCCCTTTTACGTTGAGGACACCAGAACTGGACACAATACTCCAAGTGAGGTCTCACAAGGGCAGAGTAGAGGGGCAGGATCACCTCCTTTGACCTGCTGGTCACGCTTCTTTTGATGCAGCCCAGGATACGGTTGGCTTTCTGGGCTGCAAGCTCACACTGAAGCTGGCTCATGTCAAGCTTCTCATCGACTACAATTTCATCGTCACCTCTTTTTCCTACAGGAAAAAGGCTGTATTTTCCTTGAAGGATTTTTTTTTTTTTTTAAATTTGCTTGTTCAACAACAGTGCTGTGACTTCATCATTTTACTCTTACGTCAGTAACAAACAGCAATCAAGTATGACTTTACGTAAGAACTAATTTTTGCTGTGAAGTAATAGCAATACCTGTAGGACACCACTCCAAGGATTTAAAATATTTAAAAATGCTATTGCATTACATCTCACATTAATTTCTGAGCAGTGGCAGCACCTCTACCGTATTGGAAAGACAATTGAAATGTACATTAATTACATTTTCTTAGAAACAGGTCCTGGTTAATTACAATCCTCACAAAGAAGGAGGGAATAATTACATAATTCCACTTTTCTGTTTCTTGCTTTAACTGCCAGGTCACCCTTCCTTACTGTTTTACCGCATGGTGATGTAATTGTCTCTCATGTGCATGTTTTGCTTTTTGACAAAAGATTTTGTGGAAAGATGTAAAAAGAGAGAAGAAGTGGGGATTAAGTGACAAGTATACAGATAGTTTTACTCCAGATTATATGCCAAATTCAAGTTGCCTTCACTTTCTTACAAATCCTGAAATACCTTCTTCTAGATGGAGTTATATGTTGGAGGACAATAACACTTGTAAGTTACTATTTTGATAGCTGAAATGTTTGCCCAAGTCTTGAATCAAATGAAATTCTCAAATTTAGCATATTATTTGGTACACTAATAGGCACTACAGTAACACCTGGACCACTCAATAGCAAAATTACTGTAAAATTTTACTGTAAAATTTTTATATATCAAATTAGTTATCGCAAAATAGTGTCTAAACTCAGAAAGACTAAAACAAATACACTGCCCCCACAAATTAAAGTACTCATGAGTCACCTCCTGTTAGCACAATAGCAAAAATTTTTGAAATGACAATCAATTAAACAAAAATGAAAACCTCTCAGAGATTCCAACTTCATGGAGGAAATAGAATATCAGTCTAAGTAGACAGTCACTCCACTGGCATCTTCTGTGTTTCAGATAAATGAGGACATTTTACAGTAAGTTAACATGGACAAAACAATGTTCTCAGAAGCCTGAGCATACAAGCCTTTCTCATTTAACTGGTACCCTGCAAAGGCAGAGTGACTTGGCAAAATCAGAACATTTTATTTAAAAAAAACCATTAACTACTGGATTACATTTCCTTAAATACCTACCAAAAGCTGTCCAGCAAAGCAGATAAACAAAATGAAGGAAAGTAAGAGAAACGCAGCCCCAAATGAAATTCCAAGAATAGATGTTCTACAAGAGAAGGAAAACATGTATTAACTTCTGTTACTCATCTGTAGCATGACCTTTCTTTGTGTATAATTCTGAGAATTCTACAAATTACTATGTGCAAGTTGCATCTTCCAAACATCAACATTGTGAAAAAACAGTTCTAATCCTTACCACAATGACAGGCCTTTTTCTCAACTCAGGAATGCTTCAATTGGCTTTACCTCTGACTGCAAAATTATTACCAGGAGAAGGTAATAATTTCCACACATAATTTAAATGACAGAGTGCATCAACAGCAGCAATGTTTTGCTTTTACTTTAGAAAGCCTGTATTAAAAAAGATCCTTATTGCTTTATTTTTATGCTGTTGATTTTATAATAATTTAAGAGTCTAATAGATATACCAAATAAACTTTTTGGTATTGTACATTCTCCCCAGCGGTAGAAAAGCAATAGCATGGGACAGTGATGCTCAGTTTTCAGTGTCTTGCAGATGGAAACTGTGATATCTGTGATGTTGTAGTCTCTCAGACAGCAAGGGCCCTAAAATAGTGCCTGCTATTTCATGAATGGCTAGGGATCCAACAATTCTGAAAAATCTGGCCAGTAGAGTCAGAGGACAGGATAGGAAATAAAACTAAAAAAACATGAAAAAAAAACCCCAAACAACAAAACCAGACTTTAAATGAAAAAAATTGAGTAATCTCTAGACTCTTCCTGAAATCATTCTTACTTAGTGTTCTAGCTCATCCTTTTCTTGTGTGTCATAAATAAAAACATCTAGCCAAAATAGCATCACTGGATGCTCAATAAACAAAAACTGGGATACAATAACAATCCGTGCATGCATTCACTCTGCGAATGTGGGAATCTCTCCGAATACCACAGTAGAGCATAATTGCTCCTTCAGGCACTGTACAAGAGCTAGTTAGCATGGCTGCCTAGGGAAAACTAATTATGTTTAATGAATGCCAAGAGGAGATCAGAAGCTTTGGGCCAACTGAGCTGTTTAAGCAAGAGAACTAGATGGCATTACAAAGTCCCTCACCTGAGCATCTAATTTCAGTTTTAACCACAGATTTGACACTTTGACAGAATTAAAAATTTATTTCTCAACTACTTGGAGCACCAGCAAATATTTTATCAAACCTTATATGATAGAAATATAGGAATGACATTTTAGAAACAAGTTTTAGATCCCTTGCTTTTCCCACAAAACTACAATAAATGTTACATTTTAAGTTAGCTCCTCCATAAATGTGTGATTCAGAATTAAAATACATTATTAATAAAAGGATGCATCTCTGTTCTTTAGAAATGCCATGTGAATTCAAATATATGCATTTTAGAGACTATAATACTAAAAATTTAGTAGAACTCTGAATCAGTTTCCTTAGATTATGTACAAATACTGGAAAACATTCCGATCCATTTTAACCAGAGAGTTATAAAAGCTATTTTCAGGAAAGAAAAAAAAAGCATTAACTTCACAAACCTATTTCATGCCATATTGCTGCCATTAAAAGCACTCTGGAGAGTAACTGATGAGTTTCCACGCCAATCATTTGGAGAACCTCTTACATGCCATAGCATGTATTAATCAGACTTTGGGTTGATGTGACAGCTGATGAAAACCAAACAACTGGCAATTTGTAACATATATGAATCTTGAAATAACGTTTCATTTTGAAGTTATTTGAAAATTATTATTTCTTACGAATACATGTTCGCAGCGAGACTAAGACGGTAAGCTGTACATCAGAATATGTAAAACTAGTCTCCACCCTTTGGAATTTAAAAACTAGTAAGCCACAGAAGAGATGAAAGAAAGGAATATAATTAACGCAGTTATTTTTCATACATGCATAAACACTTCCATTCATATTTGTCCTTCAATAGGCTTCAAGTAATCATTCCTCCATTTCAAACTCTCTGATATGATGGATACAAAAAACAAGCCTGCACAACTTAAGAAATGATTCAATGTAAGAATAGCTTTGAGTCAAGTTTGGAGTGCATCCTTGTAGAAGAAGAAATAATGTTTGTGAGAGAAACTGGAGAGCAAGGGAAATAAAACTAACACAGCATAAAGAGAGCTTATGAGAAGAGTTCTAAATCACATGGGCAACTGGCAAGAACAAAAGGTCTTTGTAGCTGTTTTACTTGACTGTGATGTTATTGAGGTAGCACAAGAAAAAGAATTACAAAGCAACAAAAGTCTAATTATCAAGACAAAGAGAAAAGGATGGAGGATAAGGAAAAGATCTGAGTGGTAAATACAGAGAGAAAAAAAAGTTGTAAGACTTTTGCTCCCTACACCCCCTTCTTTTCTGGGAACAGCAGGACTTCTGTTTCAGTTAAGCTGTGCTGAAATAGTTCCATGCTGTTCCTAGAAGGAAAGAAGTGGGATGAAAATGCTATAACAGGAAGCAAAATACTAAAATGTAAGTAGCACCATAAACAAGCCTCATTTGAGGCAATGACCACAGGAAAGCTATAACATGCATCTATTTTTTTGTCACTGCAACAATGCAAAACAGTACAGGTCTTTACAGTAATCTGTAAATAATTGTCTTTATTGCATAAAGTAATGAAACACAGTCACCAGACGCATGGCACTGACAGATTTGGGCAAACCATTTTGTCCAAAGAGCCCCTAGGATCCCGTAAGACAGCCGACCTTTTTACCTGCCTCTTCCCATGCTTCAAAAGAATGACCTAATTTCTGAAGGTCTGCTCTCTGCTACAGTGCCCCTGTAGCAGCAACCCTGACAGGACAACCCTTGACAATAACCTACAGGAGGGACAGTTTAAAATTGAGAAAACAACATGAGAACTTCCTAGGCTTCAGATACTTGGAAGTCTAAATAATTTATGATCTTGGCTATCCTTTTCATATTTTTCTGGTTTCATCAGTAAATATCTGTTTTGAATAATTCATTTTTATCCAGTGGTATGAGATTGGGAAAAAAATCCTATTTATCATAGAATCATAGAATAGTTAGGGTTGGAAGGGACCTTAAGATCATCTAGTTCCAACACCCCTGCCATGAGCAGGGACACCACACACTATGTCGCCCAAGGCTCTGTCCAGCCTGGCCTTAAACGCCTCCAGGGTTGGAGCATTCACAACTTCCTTGGGCAACCCATTCCAGTGACTCACCACCCTCACTGTGAAGAACTTCTTCCTTATATCTAATCTAAACTTCCCCTGTTTAAGTTTGAACCCATTCCCCCTTGTCCTACCACTAGAGTCCCCAATGGAGAGTCCCTCCCCAGCATCCTTGTAGGCCCCCTTCAGATACTGGAAGGCTGCTATAAGGTCTTGTTGGTAACATTTTAACTGAAAAATAAAAAAAAATAAAAACTTGTTACAAAGATAAAGATACTAAAAAAATGAGAAAGTATGTGTTCTTTCTATACTTCTGTAACTTTTAGAAAAAGATGTGACTTATGGCACATGTCCCTTAATGGGATGTAGAGAATTTCCTTATCTTGCCAGGTAATTAACATTCATGTTTTGAGCTATCTGATTGCAAATTCTCTTGAGGTGATTAAATCATAATGAAGCAATTACAAATGACAATTATACAAGGAAATAATGAATTCAGACTTTTTTTGGCATTTAGTAGTAGCTATTTCTTTCTTAATTTGACTGATGCTTTCACTAAGCCATCGACAGATTCAATGGCTATGTAGACTAACTGTATGGCACTTTCAGCATTAAGAAAAATAACTTGACTATTATATCTCCACCTGAGGTTTGGTTCTTTTTTTTTGTTTGTTTGTTTGTTTTAAATCAGACACAGCAGAAAAAAAGCTTGTAATGGTGGTTTTCTTTCCTTTAAACTGCCTTACATTTTACACACTTGCTTTCAGACAAAGCTTTAAACTACTGCATTTTCGACAAGGAAATTTAGCTTTGCCTGACTGTAAATACTATATTAAGCCCTCCTAACCACCTTCCATGGGTAGAGCAAGATGACTGTTAGTTTGGCATGACTCAGGACAAATGGACACAGGTTCTTAAACACAGCAGCCTCAGGGACTGAAGACAGTAAGAATCTTAAATGCAGCTCCAAACAAATCCTTTACTCAAATAGCACAAGTAAATCCCGTTCAACAGGGGTACACTTTCATGAGTTCACTAGTCTGTATTTAAAAAAATAACACTATCATCAATTTCATGTTAGTTGACTGTTTCACTAAATAAAGAACATAGCTTCCCTAAATAAAGAACATAGGGTTGTTGTGAATTACTAGACATACTTCTGTCACTAGGTAAAGCAAGAATGCTAGAGAGAAACCGAAGGCCTGTTCCAAGGAAATGTAATGATCAAGATTTGCTGTCATCTTAATGTTAATAAAGACTTACTCTTCATGATACATTTCTCCCCAAGATATTGATTACTTGGGTTAAATTTGAATTTACCAACTTGTATAAAGTTTATTCCAAAAACACCATATCGGTTTATTGACCCCAGGAAAATTAACACATTAATAGATTATTTTAGCCTTGAAATAAATGTTAAGTGATCTTGGAGACATTACTTATCACTTGCAACTTGCTGGATATTAGTCATCAAATATCTCCACATCTACTTTAAAGTAGCGGGTGATGTGCCTGCACAGAAATCAATGATATTACACTGCTGCAAAACCAGATTAATGGAATAGTGAATCAATAAAACCCAATGACAGATGTAGTTTATCTCCATGTCTTCATTAGATAACCATTTAAATATCCTGTAGAATTTTTGGAATAAACCAAAAAGGCTGGATAGAATTTTAGACTACGCTATGATTTATTTATTCATTATTTATCTTTTGCTAGAAGGAAATAACATTTGCAGCACTGGCGTAGTTCAATTTAAGCTACATTTGTAATGACTACATACACTGGTGATTTCTCAACTTTCTGAGGATTTTTTTTAACTTGCAATGTTCCCAGTTTTCCAGCACAGATGCAGATGCCTGTATAATACCCTGCCTTTCTGACTTCCGTTTTTGCATCTCTTAAATTAATCCACAGATCCCTTGAAGCTGAATACCATTCATCTTAGTAAAATCTTATTTTACACTCTTGCTTTTGCAATTTAATATGCATCCCTATAAAAGGAACAAAAGATAATGTATATTTTGGTAATAAAAATGAAAAATCTTATGTATTTTTCTCTGATATTAGAAAGAGATCATGTAATATCTGCATATATTTTTACAAGCTGGAGGTCACTTTCCTTAGGTGAACACAGCTCCCTAGAGTTCACTAATTCCAAGTAGCTGATGTATTTTAATGAGCTTCACAATTGGTTTAAGATACATAAGGATATCACAAAATGAGCATCTTACTACATATATGATAGGTGATAAATCTAGATTAATTTTCATGACTGAAATCAAAACATAGAATCAGATTCATAAATCATACTGCTGGAAGGGACTCTTTAGATCTAAGTTTGGGTTTTGGTATATCACAAACCACAGATTTCCCTGATTTAATTCCTGTACGAATCACAGTACAGTATGAACTTTTAAAATATACCCATTATACAAAATTACAAATAAAATTAGTCATGAGCCTTAATTTCATATTTTGCTATAGTAATACATAAAATCAGACTGAACCACATACAGGCTACTGCTGAACTCTTGGAAGAGTGTCCTTTTGCAGCTTATGTCTCTGTGTTAGAAAGCAGCTGGGAAACTGTTCGCAAAGAAAATGCCGTAACATTTGAACAGAAGCCCATAAAACTTTATATATGTTATAAAACAAGTCTACAGTATGGAAAGTCAATTTATAATGACCTAACAGTTCGTTCTGGCTTTGAATCAAAATGTGAGAAAGTACTACAGCGCAAGACTGAGGCTATAAATACTACTCCTGCACAGAAGAGACTATGAGTTAAGAAATACTGTAGCACAGGGAATATACAGTGTTGGCTTTGGAAACAATTGCTATAAAACAAATATCAACTTTCTACTATGTAAACAATCAACAGCAAATTTTTATTCTAAGAAGTCTAATAAAATATTATTTAGTGCAACTGTCTTCCAGTTTTCTCAGCATTTCTGGAATATTCACATAGAGAAAGATAGCTGATTTATATGCACAAATATAAATTAGCTCATAATATATAAATTCTGATGAAAATAATCATTCCAGCAACTGATTATATTTTAAAACTAGTTTTAAAAAGAGACATCTTATGAATAGCAATGCTCTGTTTGCATGCTGAATAGAGCAGTATTATCACAGTAATATGTTAAATATATTCCTTTAATCACAGTCCCAATTCTGCAATTTTGTTCCACTTCAATGTCCAATTGTCATACTTACTCTACATGTAATTTTAGTTGCACCAACTTATAGCTTGTATTACTTTTTCTTTATACATATGGATTTCATTCCTGTCATCATCACACATTTTTAAATGCAGAGGGAAAAACTAAAATGAATGAAGAGTTGATACTAATGCTTGGCACCATACTATTTACAGCATTCAAGATTAGAAACAAGCATAACTTTGAAAATGGGCTGAAATCCACAATGTTCTCGGTTCAATTTCATTTCTAGGAATTGAGCTCTGTAGTCTGATAATTCCAAAATTATTTACTTATACATTTCTATTTTTCACATTAATGAGCAAATATACATAGGAATGAGTACATGTTAAATAGCACTTACTTTGGCAATACCAGAATCTGCACAACAAAAATGCAGAAGAATATGAGACAGGCACAAGTCACATAATACTTAAATGCAGGGAGAGTAGTTGCTCGATACTAAAAGAAGAAAAAGCAAATGTTAAAAACACAATTTCCAAAGCAGATAAAGTATCACTCAACTGAAATTTCAGCTTAAAGATGAAGATATGTATAGAGAGTCTTCAGCAACAGAAAATTTCCTATTGTTCAATGACTTCCAGATCCACTCACATAGGACTAGGCATTATCAGGCATAGTATTGAATCTTTTACTTCTTGAAGAACAGCTTAAGTAACCATGTCAAATGGTTTTGTCTTGTTCCTCTGCAGAATAGGACTATCTTAATTTCACCATAAAAAAGTTAATAAAAAAAGAAGCTAAAGTATTTTTAAAAATATTTTTAGGAATTACCAACCACTCTTAGCTGATTTCAAGTTTCCTAGTCATTAATTCCTAAACTGATTTTCAATTATTAATAAATACTGAATAGGCTAATACAGTTGTAAAAAATTGTAACAGTCATTTAGACAAGAAACTTCTGAGCACACAAAGCAACAAAGTGTAAAACGTGCTACAGATGTGTATAAACATTCTATTTCCAACAGGATAGCTAGCAATCATATTGATACTTACTGGGCCTACAGTATTACTTCAATTATAATATTTTACGTCTGTGTTAAAAGGCCTTGTACATCCACTGACACTACCAAACACTTGATACTCTTAAGGGAGAGTCAATTTGATCTGCTTTTTCACGGGGGAAAAAAAAATCTATTTATGAATCTCTAATTAGCCAGTTTAGAGACATAAGAATTAAGCAATTAAATATTTATCAGTTATTCTGCTATTTGAGATAGATGTGTCTAGATTGAAACTAATTAAGTTCTCTAAGGGAAATGACATAAGTATTGGGCCTATTAAAGTTACTTACCCTTTCAAAGTGTTTTTTCAAAGTACGGTAAGAATTTAAGGTTCGATTATTGAAAGAAAATGTACCAAAGATTATTTTCACAGTGTTCAAAATGCAAACTTCATAAAATGAAAAGTGCATGAGCTGTGCTTTCTAACTGCAAGCACACAGCTGTGTCTTTGTGCTTAGTGCCAAGTTCTGCCCTTGAAACTGATGCACCAACTTTAAATGAACGTTTAGAAATTGAGTTTAGCAACCCGGTGGCTTTCTTTTCACTTTCATTCTGATCATTACTCCAAGGACTAGAAACAATATAATTTACTCCATCTGTACATACATGTCTCAAACATGTTTTATCACACACATATTAGTCAGAAGACTATTAAGTGTGTTGCATCCAAGGCAGCTAGACATTTATAGTATTGTTTCCTCAGAATGACTATGAGTATTAAGTGCATATGGAGAAAACTAATGAGCTGATACATAGGATACAAGACTATTACTACAGGTGGAGTCTTTGAGACATGGAAAACAAAAAAAAAACAACCAACCAAACAAAAAAAAAATTAAAACCAGTGGAGTTTGATAAATGCCTTTTATGGATGTAGGTGATGGAATTTAGTAATTCTTTGCTCCAGCTACATCAAATTTGGATTATCAAATCTCTTCCCACCTCTGCAAGACCATGAAAATGTCAAGAAATCCAAATGAAATGCAGAGCCCTACAAACAGGAAAGCAGTCTCAGACATCACAATCATCAAATTTCTTCCATAAATGAGCTAAAATATTATTGTAAGGTTTGAGAACTTCTCCCTGCAGGGGAGGTGCTGTGGCCATGGCTCTGTGTTTCAAAAGCAAGGGATACAAGCTTTACTTAGAATGAGGCAAAGAAGGAATCAACCATGAATTTGCAGTGAAAATAACTTACTTCTTTTTCCAGGGTCTTATTATAGAAAAGAAGTGATATTCTTTGAATATCTTCAGATTTAAGCCACTGTCTGCAAGAGAAAAGGAGCATTATAATTAGACATAAAAATAAAGTAGTCCTGTCTTTTTCAGTTACTGAAAAGCTGTAAAATAAGAAAAAACTAATAAAGCAACTTCTTGTGTACTGCAATATATATGGTAAATCGCACTGACAGTAAAAGCAGGAACCACAAATCCCCTCTTCCTTTTGAATTCTGTTGCTAACATACACATGAAACAAAAGCTCAGTTGAAGCATTCTTCTGTGGATCATTCTTAAGGACAATCAAGGGAAAGATTTATATGATGTAATTCTGACACTGATGTTCCCCTCATGTCCAAAATGCTGTAATATACCCTGCGGACTTAAAGGAATTTGAGACAAAAACAGTCCTTCACAAGGAACCTTTAAGAAATGCAGTTATAGTATGCAAGAGTGGCAGATAAATTACGCTTTATGAACTCCTATTCCAAATGTAAATGTTAAAAACATTACTAAAATAGGTGGAGTGATTTTGTCTTTGAGCTGTATTAGTCTTTTGACCATGACCCTGTACTCTAGAGGTAGATTTTAATCTTTATACAGATTATAAAATCTTCTTCCCTGTTTAAAGGTGAGAAATAGAATAAGTACTTGCATGAAAATGACAAATCTATTTTAAAAGAAGTGAATCTTGACAAAGGCTTGACATAAATTTTACCAAATTAAATGTTCTAATATGAAAGTTTACATTTATTTTAAGGGACACTTGAAAAGACACAGAATAATTAAATTTCAAGAGAGTTAGGGTGTTTGCACCTCAAGAGGACTAGATGAATTCAAAAAAAAGATATTTAAGCAGACTACTTCTGTGAACGTGCAGTATTTGAGGTTGAACACTAATAGCAGGGCTTGAGATTTTTTTGCAGTAACTTTAAATTAGGCCTTTCCAGCAATAACTTTAAATTAAGCCCTAAGCCAGTTGTGTAGCTAATGCCTTCTAAATAAAAGGGAATATCTCAAATGACAGGCTGCAATGCAAATATGTAGCAGCAATAAACTGCAGTGGAATATACCCTAAGTTAAGGTCCTGGGAGAACAGGAGTGGATGGATTAGAGTGTAAGCTATTAGCTTTGATTTGTGAAATCTAATTTTTTTTTTTCCTTGCCTGGGAGACTGCTCCTGTGCAATCAGTTTCATTACAAACAGCGGCTGAAAACATACTCAGTTCTAGGTATGCTTAATTCAGAAATATATTTTCCAGTTTGCTCTGCAGTGGTTCATATCTACATCTGATCACAGTTAGGATTCTGTGAAGAAACAGATATGATAGGCTAGTTTCTATATAGCGCGATTTTGTTTGGGTCTAGCTGCAATCTACTGGAAAAAACATTCAGTTTGCAGAACATTTTTGGTTAACTGCAAAAATTAAGTGCAAGTCTTCTTCCATTTAGTTATAAAAATTGAACAAAAAGTAACCCTCTTCTCCAAATTGTTAACTAATTTCCCCTTTTTTCTTACAGTATCTGACAGGAAGATTCATTTAATCACCATTACCACCAAAAAGTTCTGTCTGCAGACCTACTCCCAAAGACCTAATTTGATCTGTACATACTTGATTGGCTGTGAAATCAGTAATGCCATCCATTTAGAGCAAATGCTGCCTTATACTCCGCATTACAAGCTCCCGTTTTCATGAGCTTTTAGTTCTACTTCAAAGCTTAGAAAAAAACTCTACTGGTTTTAGGTAGCAGGTACCAAGAGGTCTGAGATGGGGGAAACAGTTTAACACAGACGAATGGAAGTGGAGATTAAGTACAGAAGAGGGAGCACAAAGTCACATACCTCCATCACAAAGAGAAGAATTCTGCCTTGCCTGACTCCTCAATGAGCCTAAAAGTTACCAAAGTATCTGCAAGTATGTGGGGATATGCCTCCTGGGTAGCTAGGTACCAAATTTCTGTTAACATTCCTTTGCAATTCAAGGCACGACAGAGACAGCTGAATTCTGCCAGTATGTGCAGAAGCATGTGGTTTGATAGGGCTTGTTCTGATTGACAACATACAACAAGGAATTATACACAGAGCATAGCAGCCGCCATGACTTAGAGAAAAAAAACGAAGAAGAGAGTGTGTCTCCTTAACATAGTAATCTACTCATCTAAGAGCAAATAACTTCAGTTTAGCTCCCTCTGTAGGTATGTATTTAGCTAGCAGATTGCTATCCATTCATCCCAAGTTCTACAGAAGTCCCCTAACCACCAAGGTTCAGGGTGGTGTAGCTAGGGCTGCTCATCCCCTTTCTGTGCAGGATAGGCATTTTGCAGCCAGGAATATTTTGTTCAATGTACAGGGAAAAGAAACGTGAAGAAAGTATGATGTTACACCCTAATGCCTAAAGCACTCAGCTGAGAGACACTCACTTTTAAATCTGTATTTACGTGTCTTTAATGTAGTGCTCTAAAAGAATAAGAATGAATAAACAGGTCATAGCTTTCTTCATGCAGCTTTGCCAGGAGCATTGCCAACTAAATCAACTACTCTAAATCATGCTGTAAGGCAAGTGGACTGCTTTTTAGATGCCACAGTTTCATCTGCATTCCAGAAGAAGGAATTGAACACAGATGCCCCGAGTTACTGACAGTGTGTGCATGTGGCACTTGGCAGTTTTGTGGAAAGGTAGCTAAGCTAGCTTGTGAAACAGCTGGACAGCACTGAGGGAGCCCAGAGAAAACACTACACTGCTTTGAAAACCTGACCTACTATTTCAATATGTACTGTACTATTCTACACTATCTAAAAACAGTGATTCATTTGGACTACAGCTTTGTCTTTGACTAAGATCCACATTCTACATTCCCTTGTCTTCCAGTTACTAGCTATTAAGCACCTGGGCATGTAATGTCCAAAGACACACATACTACAACCATTTGCTTGCAACCAGTTACAGAATGACATATGGCAAAGAATCATGAAGTCAGTCCACGCTGACAGCTCAGGGTAGAAGAAACAATGGCTCTGCGCTATGAATATTTGGGGTTTAATTACTGTCATGGAATTTTCTAATTAAAAAGCTTAAAAGAATGGTAATTTTAATATCATATTTTACGTGCAATGTTTTTTTAAATTTTCTTCAGTCACAGATCTAATCACTATACAATCCAAACTTCAGACTTAAAAACATTTAGAAATACCAGTTTTCTCAGAGATTTTCTTAAAAGTTTGCTACTTGATTCACAAAAGCAAAAGATTTATCTTCACAACCAATCTGTTAAATTAGTTGCTAGTGTTATTTTCATTTTACAGGCAAAAAACTGAGGCACAAAAAATCTGCACAGTTATAAAGAAAACAAAAATGTGTTTTGTGTTCTAAATGTAGGAAATCTTGTATCTTATTTTTCCAAGTGCTGAGCATTCATATAATTAAAATATTATTTTATTAGCTTGCTGTTTGGAGAACCAGCACTTTTGACAACTTATTCTCAGGTACCCAATTGAATAATACCATTTAAGTGATTCATTCAGCAAATCAATACAGGGATAGAGAACTAAGTTTTGGAAGGTGGCATTCAGTGTCTCTGATGTGTAATATCACTCCTTCCCTTTCTGCAATTCCCCGAGTAATTCACAAAATGCACTGAAACATTTTCAGAAACTTTTCTTATCACACAAATGTCTTTTATCCCCAAGTTTCTCTGAATTTTATGCACTAATTAGATAAGGCAGGGATTCCCTGAGATAACATAACATACAGTATGATCATACCAATGCTTTATTTTAATGTATTTATACAGATGCTTTTCTTTTGACATCGAACCGTCATTTTTACAATTCACTTACTGGAGCAAGCATATCTGAAGACACATACAAACAACCAAAACTTACAAGGCTGTTTTAGGCAAGTCCAGTATATTCAAATGGCTTCGCCTATCACTTGACCTACCCTCTGTCACTGTATTCCTTGTATGACCTATAACTATCAACACTAATTTCTATAAATAATTACTTTAAAATATTTTCGTAAAGCCAAGTACCTTTTAATAAGGCTATCAGATGCCAAAAAACCCAAATGTTACATTTGAGCTTTTAATAATTAGGTGTAATACTCAGATGATTAAAATTCTGAGTAACAAAAAGGGGGGTGGGGGAAATGTGTAATTCATCACAATTATTGTCTGCATTTTTGAAAGGCAATGCCCTTATATCATCAGATAAATATAAGAAGCCTGAACACTTATTCTGGACTGGTATTGATTTTTCTCTCAGTCTTATCTATTCACCAGCAAACAGAGAACATCAATACCGCCTCCAGCTCTTCCTGGGACACAGAAAAAATACATGCCACATTGCCTCCCCCAACAATTTCAATATGCCATGAAGCTTAGCCTTCTCTAAGAAATGAACCTACCAGTTGAAAGAGAAAGATATTAAACTATGATTTTAGAGAAAGTTTCTAATTCTGAGGAGATGTTACTGTGACAATTGTGAAGCATCAATTTTCACGTCATTCTGATTCCTGAGCTATTTCTTGTGGTTTACTTCTCTGCTCTCAGATGAGCTAATTCTGCAGACTTATGGCTATGAGTGTACAGACACTAACAGTTACAGAGCAAAAATCCCTTTGCCATGAAGATCAAGACAAGCCAAAATCTCTGTCACACCATGATTCACACAGTCTTATCCCATATAGTACAAAATGTTACTGTACAGACTATCTTCACAATGTGCAGAACTTCCTGTGCCAGTTGTAATGACCTTTACTGTTTTCAGACTTCTGTGTGCATGTGGAGTGAAAAATAGTAAACACTAGCCTTTCTTGCAGATTTATATCAAAGTTGAATGAAGGAGACAACAAAGGATAAAAACATACTTTTGAGCATTGATTCCATCAATGGCCTGGATCATTCTCTCATTCAGTTCCTCCTCAAACCTTCTTTTCTGCGATTTTGTTCTGAAATGAAAAATGTGAGAAGTTACTCTGGAAAATCATTACATTGTTAGTAAACATTGACTTTTAAACAAAGGATGATGTCTGGCATAAACTTCTAAGGATAATAAATTATTTTTATCATTTTTTAATGTTAAAAATGTCCTGGTTTAATGTCCTGGTTTCAGATGGGATAATTTTCTTCCTAGTAGCTGGTATCGTGCTCTGTTTTGGCTTCAGCCTGAGAACAATGCTAATAACACACTGATGTTTTAGTTGTTGCTCAGCAGCGCTTACCCTGATCAAGGACTTTTCAGTCTCTCATGCTCTGCCAGTGAGGAGGGGCACGGGAAGCTGGGAGGAAGCAGAGACAGGACACCTGACCCAAACTGGCCAAAGGGGTATTCCATACCACAGCACGTCATGCCCAGTATATAAACTGGGGGGAGTTACCCGGAAGGCCCAGATCGCTGCTCGGATCGGGCTGGGTATTGGTCAGTGGGTGCTGAGCAATTGTGCATCCCTGCTTTCTCCTTCTAGTTTTATATTCTCTCCCTTTGTTATTACCCTTTTGATTTTCCTCCCCATTCTGCCTGGGGAGGAGGAAGAGGGGATGAGTGAGTGGCTGCAGGGTACTTTGGTGCCATCTGGGTTTATATCATGACACATTCATTCTGCAATACCAGCTGTAGGCATCAGGTACACTAAGCCTCATAATAAGCTCTTAACAAACCCAGCACACACTGCAATCTGACACACACACAAAAATCTAGAGTTTAGCTACTAGTGAGTGATTAAAAAAAAAAAACCACAAGAAAATATTTTGTAAAAAAAACCCCCAAAACCAACAAAAAGACACAACAAAACAAAACCAAAAAAACACCGAAAAACCCCACAAAAAAACCCACCAAAAAAACCCCAAAACAACACCCACACAGAAAACAAACCAAGAGAATTCAAGAAATTCTGGTTGAAGGAAAGCTTCCATAGTTTTATGGATTCATGAAAAAGAATGCAAATATGCTCAAACTCATAAAACATTCCTGTTTCTTCTAGTTACTTTTAATATCCCTTGTCAGAATTGTATGATGAGCAATAATGGGCTAGTACAGCAAGGCTTAATAAGTATTCACCACTGAAAGCCTGATAACTTCTTTTCTTGGCATTCTTCATTATTTTTAACAAGAAAACCGAGCACCAAGTCTGAAATGAGTTTCAAACATATGTCACGTTTCTCTGTTTATAACATAACTGCAATAAAAAAGCATCTTTTCACTGGATTCAGCATGAACCCAACAAAGCATCATCAGAATCGGTTTTGTCTTTGCTAATGTACGTTACTGCAAACATCATTAGTCCTTTCAGCAGTTGCGCTCTCCTTAAAATGGAATATTTCAAATATTGCCAGATGATGTCTCTGCCTCTTGAAAATTTAAATCCAACGTTTGCTTAGCAAAATCATCTTCACCTACAAACTAAACTGCATCAAAGGTAACATGGATTTTCTACAACATCAAATTTTTGAGTTATTTCCCCAAAACTGATAACCTGTTGCAGCATTCAAGTTCAAACAGAAATCATATTAGTGTGTTTAAGAATAACTTTGAATAACCCAACTGATTTCATGCCTGTTTAATGGTATAGAATTTAGGTAAGAAAGTGCTTACAACTTATTTTTCCCTTATGGAACAATCTGCCTAGGAGTAATAACTAGACAAATGAGGAGACATTATCTAATCAGACTTAATCCTTTTGGCAGCTCCCTAACAACATAAGAGCTAAGAGAGCCACAAACAGAAGCCTATATTCAGCCTTTAAAACCCACATTTTCATATTCTAATAAAATACTGATTTTCAAAGTGCTTGTTATTATTTCAGCTCTCTCCTGTGGGAATGACTAATTAGATTATCTAGAATCCTAGTTATATGCCTCACAATGGACATTAGACTCCAGTACTGGTTTCTAGAAACTTCTGTAATATGGTATCAAGACATATGGTAACATTTGCAACTTTTGGATCTATTTTGGAATGGAATATAGAAATCAAAAGCAAGAACATCTCAGAATCTTAAAGAACCACATTTACAAATACTGCAGTACACTTATCTTTCTTTTTACTATAAGGCTGATAGAAGTCCTTTTGATGTACTGTCTAAATGCAAATGCTCATTTTTACAGAGACTGTTTTTATTACTATCACGCATATTCAGTCAAAACTTGTTCATCTTCTGGAATTTAGCAGTATTTTAGGTAATTGCATAGCTCTCCAGTATCCTGGGATTTGTTGAGGAGACATTTACCAAGCAGAGAGATGGGGAAGGAACAGACAGAGTGAGTTATTTGCATAACCAAAGACAACGAAACCACAATTTTTAAAAGGTTTCTTTCAAATGGTTTTATGGCATTTGTGTTGTTACTTCCAGTTTTGTAACAAAGACATTATCCAAATTGTTGTCAGGTCATTAAAATAAAAATTAACCATCCCAGGTTTCTGACAGTGCTAAGCTTGTTTTTTAAACAGATGTCATTCAACTCTGTTTCCATTTCTCAGCATCTTACCCTAGTTATTGAAGTACTAAGCAGGTAAATGAAAACATAAAGCTATTGTGATTTTGCAAACATCTTGTGTAGCAAGAGCACTACAGGAAGACCACAAAATAGCTTTCTAATGTTTACTTCTGCAAACATACTATAGACTTTGAAATAATAAACCACAACACACATACAAAGCAATTAACAAATTATATGTCTCCTTTAGTACATATTATTAGCTGTTGTAACACAAATTATTAGCAACCCTTTCCATCTCCTCTTTCCTCTCTATGCCTCCTCTCAATTTTCCTGCATATAATTTTCTCCCCACTGACAGAGCAATTGGGTTGTTAGGAGAAACAAATAGTAGCCCATCAGCATACTTATACTAATTCAGAATAATGCTATTTGTTAGCAGGAAGTGTATTCACAATCTATAAGTAATACGTCTGCCAAATCTGTTTCCATAGCCATTCTTTATGTAAGAGGTATCAGCTGAAAAAATAGTTTAGGTGAGAAATGGCCCTCAATATTTGAAAGCATGCATTATATATATATGAATGCCTATGAATGCATATGTATTTATATGGACTTCGTATGAATACGTAACTTTTAAAAATTTATTTACCTCTCTCTGCAACGCTGAAAATGATATTGCCCCATGGGAACATCCTGAAAAAACAAAAGAAAATACCTATCAACTATAACAGACTTTGACAACACTAAGTTGCTTTAAAAATAGTGTTGAAAACAGCATCAAGTAAGGAGAAAAACTTCCAATACAAACGCTTTCAGCATTAGATTAAAATTGTCTGAAAGAAAAATCCAGCCAAGGAACATCACTTCACTAGATGGAGTGACCTGGAGACAAACAGATCTACTGTTACAAACACTAAGTAACTAACACAATAGTCTGAATCCAAGAACGTTTGTTTTACTGCAAAGTCACCGCTTTAAAGTCATCACTTTTTTTAAGTAGCCGAAACTCCTGCCAGCTTCAGCCAAAAACAATGTTAAGTGTTATTGAAAAAAAAAACAAACCAACAAAACAAAGCAACAAACCAGATCTGAGTGACCAAAGTGCAAGTGCAGGGTCCTACACCTGGGTCGGGGCAATCCCAGGCACAGCTACAGGCTGGGTGGAGAAGAGATTCAGAGCAACTCTGAGGAGGACTTGGGGGTGTTGGTTGATAAGAAGCTTGACATGAGCCAGCTTCAGTGTGCGCTTGCAGCCCAGAAACCAACCGTATCTTGGGCTGCATCAAAAGAAGTGTGACCAGCAGGTCAAAGGAGGTGATCCTGCCCCTCTACTCTGTTCTTCTGAGACCTCAACTTGGAGTATTGTGTCCAGTTCTGGTGTCCTCAACATAAAAAGGTCATGGAGCTGTTGGAGCGAGTCCAGAGGAGGGCCACGAGGATGATAAGAGGGCTGGAGCACCTCCCTTATGAAGACAGGCTGAGAAAGTTGGGGCTGTTCAGCCTGGAGAAGAGAAGGCTGCGTGAAGACCTCATAGCAGCCTTCCAGTATCTGAAGGGGGCCTATAAGGATGTTGGGGAGGGACTCTTCATTAGGACTGTGGTGGTAGGACAAGGGGGAATGGGTTCAAACTTCAACAGGGGAAGTTTAGATTAGATATAAGGAAGAAGTTCTTCACAGTGAGGGTGGTGAGTCACTGGAATGGGTTGCCCAAGGAAGTTGTGAATGCTCCAACCCTGGCGGTGTTCAAGGCCAGGTAGGACAGAGTCTTTGGCGACATGGGTTTGGGGGAGGTGTCTCTGCCCATGGCAGGGGGGTTGGAACTAGATGATCTTAAGGTCCTTTCCAACCCAAACCATTCTATGATTCTAAATACAAGCAATGGTCATTATTTTTTATAGATAAGCAATAGCAGCCATCATATCACAGCCACATTTATTTTGTGATTAATAGTGATGGCTGGATATTTTCATAATGAACATATCACAATTTACATTCTGATGCCCTGTATTTATTGAACAAGATGGGTTATGTGACTCCATTCTATGTTGTCATATGTAACAGGAACAAAACTGAATGCTAATATTGAAAACTGTTAGAATTTACTTTCACTTTTGTACTTTTTAGAAGCAGAAGACAAAACAATGTACGAGCTGTGGACTGACAACATCTTACTGACAGCAGTAAAACAGTGCTATCAAAATTAAAAAGAAATCTTTTCTGTTAGTGTAAGAGATGTAACATTGCAGTGTAAATAGTACTATGAAACTCAGGCCATCAGCCACAGCTGATGAGTGTTTAGAGCCCTTTCAAAAGGCAGATGTTACAGTGAGTATCGGAGTTCCCAGAAAACTCTTCTAATAAAGTCCACTCCAGGTACCACAAGAATATTCAAACTTCACACCCTTTGCTCTAGGTTTGGCCATGTTCTAAATGGAGGATATGGCTAAATGGTCAGTAAATCTCAGGGAATTCCTCTGCATCAAAAGTGTTCCTTCCTAAAGGTGTTGCACTCTGGTTTTATGTTCAAAATGTCCTTCCACAAGGTGAACAGCAGCCACTCTTCATGCTGTGACTGCGGTTCACGTGCAGAGGGTCCAGTTCTGTGCTCCTTATAATTCAGAGATGCACTTATAGCAAGATATGGCTTCTTAGAGTCTAATCTAAAGGTCACATGCCAGTGGAAAATCTCCCAGTAACTTCACTGGGTTTATGCCTTGTACAAATGTGTGCATCTTCTTCTAAGAGAAATATCCAGGTATTTATCAGTGAGCACCCTTTTCCTTTCAAATATTGCTAAATTGTACAAAATGACATAAGTAGGCCCCTACTGTTGTGCTAATCTTGCCGTTTTCAGTGGTCATGCTGTCCCTGTGATGCAAGTGTGCAAATGGCTTGGCTGCTCCCCAAGATTCCAGGTACCGGGTCATGCGGACAGAAGCTCTCATTTTGGCTCCATCAAGAGTATGTCGAGGTCTAATGTGATGCTGAGGGCTTCGCTTCTCTCCCTGGTTGACAGAGAATAAAAGGTGATATCAGCCTTGGTGTTCATTGCTTTTTGAAGCAGTAATGCATCATCTGGTACCACTTATCTGCATGCTTAGGAACTTAAAAATGGAGACATGCTAAGAACCTGCAGTTCTTAATGATATTGCTGGGAAATATCAGAGACATTTCTGAAAGCAGGAAAGATTTGCAATGCAAGCATTACATATCTGTAGGCATCAGTAATAACTCTGATCAATATTTTCTGGTGGTGAATTAAAAAAATTCAATAAAGAGATTGGTGGTCCTGCTCAAAAATAATTGACTGGCAACAAAATAAAAGTCCTACTAACCTTAGGATTGATTACAAAGTAAGTCTTAACATTATGCTCTTTCAGATATGGGTCCCTCACATCTCCATCCCCATCTTCCACTTTGTAAGCTCCATTCAAATGTGCCAAGGTGACTGAGGTGATGTGAACACGGCTGAAATTATATTTCAAAAGAATGACAGAATCGTAAATACCAATTAAAAGCATAACTTGAACCCGATAAACCTTTTTTACTAGCTTTCGATACACTTTTTACATGCTGCTCACTTAATTTACAGTCCCTCTAATCTCAATTTCAGAAGTTCTAATGTGCATAAATCTAAAGGTTTGCATCTACAAAGAAATACTCCGTAAATCACAGGAAATACTGAGTGCCCCTTTTTTTTTTCCCTAAGAGCACTAAGAATTAATTCTGGCTTCCCCCTCAAGGCTGATGGCTGAAGTCATGTCATGGTACCTGTGCATGTCTCCATGATACAAAAGTCCACGTGTACCAAGGTTAACAGAGAAGGCTCTTACCCTGGGACTCCCCCAGCTTCCATGTGATTTGCCAGAGTAACATCATGCGACCACACATCGTACTGCCACTTCTGTAGCCCAATGACACCACAAAGAACATTCCCAGAGTGCACTCCTACGCGCATGTTAATATCAACTCCAGTTGCATCTCTCACTTTCCTGTAGTTGAGAAGAAAATGAGTTAATATACATAATAATGCCTTTGTTTTCATTTACCAGTCAAATCACCAGTGACAACACTTATTTCTTTTTAGCATTGCCTCCATTCTTTTTATGCTAGGATTATTTTTGTATCTTACTTTTCCCATTATCTATATTTGCAACTACTTGTAGTGAATATTAATTCTCAAGTCCATGTTTGAAGCCCTCTCTTTTATACTCATCTGAAATTATTTGGGAGGGATAAACTAAGTAGTGGAAATGTTTGGTCTCTTGGTAGAACCCAGGGACTATTTTTGTTCTACAGGCAGCTTTTGGAGATCTGGAACTACCAGCATGCGCCTGTCTATCTCAGGACCCTAACATCTATGTTGGAGACCTTCTCATATCTGTCATATCTAAGAGGAAGGACAAAAAATGCATCACCTCAGGATATTCTACAGGCTGGTGGCTTGTTCGCTTATATGGGATAAGAAACCCAAATGGCTCCTGTATATGAGTCAGGTTTATAGTTCTAGGAACATCTTCAATCTCAATGATAAGAATCATCATTACAGAATTTAACTAGCCCATTTCTCTTTTTTTTTTTCAAAGGGGGTATAGAACTTAAGAGACTTAATTTGATACAGTAAATCCTACATTTAAGCAGTAGTTCTCAGCTGTTCTTTTTTCCGGGAAATTAAAATAATGGGAGTATGACAAAGTATTTTATTAAACCGTGTTTTGAAGTTACTAAGAAGATGAGAGAAGAAGATTTTTAATTCCTTCTGTCTCTAACAAGTGTTTATTGGCATCTCTTTTCACTTTGCCATTTTACACTGTTCTCGTGTAGCTGACACACCTGGAAATGAACTGCTTGTAAATGAGCTTTGTGAGCAGTCAGCAGATTACAAACACCACTTTGCTCTGCACAAGGACTACGACACAAGCGTTCCACTTTGGGGGGAAAAAAAAAAAAAAAGAAGTATTTTTAAGACTGGGCAAAGTAGAAAAGGAACATTTAACCTCTAGGAGTGCTTGTTGAAAGGCTGCCCTGCCATATTCTGCACAGCAAGCCATAAAGTCTGTTTTATAACAAGCTCTTAGGAGTTAAGAAGGGGAACAAGTAGAATATGTTCCAGAACTTAATGTTCTCTTCTGTCCAACTAAGTAAAGAAACCACAGAAGGTTTTAAATTACAAGTGTTACTCTGGACCAAATTATGGTTTACTACTTCTTCTCTCCTCTGCCCCTTGAACAATTGCTATGACTATGTAGGCACTGACTGTGCCTAAGAATGTAATCTATCACACCCCCATAGGACACCTGCCTTACCTACACAAGTATATCTGAAACTTTCCATTATTATTTCATTTTCTGCTCCCACAGTCTCCAGTTTCCCTTAGCACACCACAGTCTTTGTGCCCATCATGGATAGGCAGTCAAAATACTCATCGACACTGCATTTTTCCTACTGCAGCCTAAAATTACAGTTTGTAAGGATTTTATGTTTTTCACAGGCATGGTTAGCAGGTAGTTGTAGCAACTTTACTCCACACAAGCAAGAGTTCAGGTCATTAAGAAAGCATCTATTCTATTTACCTGAGCTTTATTCACTGGTAATTCTGGACTAATGTATCTAAGCCTCATCTAGTCCTGTTTTGCGCTCTGCTACGCATTCAGTGAGCCTTGAGCATTAGTCTCCTGCAAATTGCCAGGTTTAAAACCATAGTTGCATTTTGGACCAGACCTGCAGGAATGAAATCATACCTACAGAAATATTTTATTTTGTATCTAGCTTTCAAATTGGTACAAACATCTCATCCAACTGTTTCACTTTCCTCTGAAATGGAATTCAGTTCACACTACCAAATCAAGGACAGCCTTTGAGAACATGTGGCTGAGAACATTTAAACTAGGAAGTCACCAGACAGACAAGAGGGTGGAGTTTGGGCTGAAGGAAAACTGCACATAATATTCATATGCAAACATATTTTTCCTTAACATATAAGCTTAACAGATAGCCTTAAAGCACCCAGTTAAGGTGGCCAGCTCTCAACATCACAAACAGCACAGCGTCTATTGCTTCATAAGGTGAGCATCCCACTCCTGGGCAAGCATGCTGCACACTACATTGGACTTGTTCCAACATAGAGCAGAGAAACAAAGCAATTAACCAATAGGACTACTAATAAATTTAAGGGGAAACAATCCCTAGCGTAGTGAGGTTGAATTGGTCAAAATGGAGCTACAAATCATGAGGAAACAAAACGGCATAAGGCTTTGTACTACAGATCGCCCAGCAATTTGGTAGAATTCCTCCTTTTTGCTTCAAAGAGAACGGGAAACAAAATCATATTCAGGTGTTAAAATCTCTACAGAACTGTTAATCTAAACAGCAAACTGCTTTATTTCAGTAACTTACACACTTAGGGGTCAGTTTGCAACTCAGTGACTGAATATAAAAACCCCTTATATCTGACAAAGAAGATATTTTAGACAAAGCGAGTCTAATATATTCTTCTGGATGAGGAACAAACATTTTAGAAAATGCAGCAGCCCAATTCCTGTACTGATGTTAGTACAAAAGATCCCTAAAGCAAGGAGATCAAAATCCTAGTTTCCAGAAATACTGCACCTTTTCCATGAATACCTTGAAAGGAAAAGAACAAAATTTGCATTAATCAACCTACCCATACAGTAATTACCTTGGATCAGATCACAAGACCAGGCAACTGAACGCCAAAACCCTCCTGTGACTACAATTACATTCATATTAGGGTAGTACTTAAGTATTAGAGGAATCACCTTCGTATGCCTGTTTAGTTAGTCAGTGAGACAACACTGTTTAACATAACTATCCACTTCATGATGAGGTGCAGACCACATATATACCTCAAAAGGATGAGGTAATTTCTTACTTTGCTACCTAGATAGGGTAAATGTGATTTGGGCAAACCCGTCAAAATTGGACATGAAACTTAGAGAAAAGCATACCATGTCTTAAAATGAAAGTCCATTTGTTTACGAAAAGCAAATCACGCAGATAACTATCAAATATCCAGACCTTCACATGATATATATTTTTGCAAAGGGTAACTCACCTAGACACACTGTAATTTTAGCCCAGGAAAACTTAGCTTTTCTACAGAAAAGATGTTTGTGCCATTAATGATAACTGCTTTAAGTAAGCATTTACAGTATTTTAACTCCTAAAAGATAGTAAGAACTTCAGTTATATATTACAGAGAATGAATTATCTGACTTTGGCTGAAAAAAAAGAAAAAAAGAAGAGGTGGAAGGTTTTTTAATTGTCCTTTCCTCACAAAATGTTTTCTAAATTAACTAACAGGATCAGACGCTTGCTTAACAAAGAAACGGCAGGTAGCTTACAAAAGAGTCATTTCTACACAACACTGAGAGTTCAGATAGCAGTCAGGTGAAGAGATTAGGGGGAGTAGAGTAAAGCTGTCCTTTCCAAGGCTTCTTTGAAGTTCCATTGTCATCAGTACTGCTTCAGTTGCCTATGAGCCATTCCAAATGTACTCTTCGGTAACAAACTAGAGGATTCCTAACATATGTCCAAAACTGTATACTGAGATGCCTTACAACTGTTAACCCATCAGTTACAACCTCTTTTTCCTCTTTCACATCATATAAAGACTCCTGTTATTATTTGAGTTACTTGAAATAAGTCACAAATGCTATTTCAAATGCAGACACATTAGGATTCTCAAATACTATCTCAAATTCTGTTTCCTGTTTCAAAGACAGAACAAACACAATGATTATGAGAAAGAAATAAGGGACAAATACACTAACCCACAAATCAAAAATACTGCTGATAAATACAGAATTCTCAGTAGTGCCCTAATTTGTTAACTGACAAAACTTTTTAGAAAATCCTCATCTAAAAAATTGATCACAGAAAAGTTGAAACTAAAACTAAACCTGTCTAGTAAGGCATACTTAATTGCTTATTTAACAGCATAGGAAGTAGATCTCTCAGCCTAGGGATCTGTAAGCTGTTAGAAATGCCTTCAGTAGATGTGCTCAGGATCACTCCACAGGCTCAGGGCTTGAGGCATCTTAATGGTGGAGGAGCAATTGCTCCTGACCACCACTAAACATCAAACTCAGCAGGATCCAGGAGCATTAGCCTCTCACAGTGCCGTTTGACTAATAGGTGGGTGCAGCATCATGACTTTGCAAAAAGCAAAGCTTCCAAGTCCTAAGTGGTGTCTATTGGGATATGTACCATCTTGTAACCACAAATCACAGAATAATTGAAGTCAGAAAGGACATACAAAGATAGTCTAGTCCAACTCCTGCGCAAAACAGGGTCAGAAAGAGCAGGTTGCTTAGGGCCATAACAGTTGGATTTTGAACATTTCCAAGGTTAGAAAGTCCACAACCTCCCTGGGCAATCTGTGTCAATGCTCAGTCACCCTCAGAGTGAAAAAAAAACCCCATGTTTCTGGATGGACAGAGGGAACCTCCTGTGCTTCAGTGTGTGCCCATCATCTCTTATCCTGTCACTGGGCACCACTGAAAAGCCTGGCTCCATCTCTTTGCACTCTCCCTTCAGGTACTTAATGCATTGATGAGATCTTTCCCCCTCAGCTTTGTGTTCTCCAGGATGAACAGTCCCTTCTCCCTCAGTCTTTCCACATATAAGCAATGCTCCAGGCCCTTAATCATCTTTAGGTATAGTGACAACATAGCCTGGCATAACCCAACATTTCTTTGCCGAGGCTGACATCAATATTACCATGCAGGACCCTGTAGTGAAACACACCAGCTACTGCAGGTCTGAATGTTTCAACCAGCAGCACAGCTACTGATAGAAAAAAGATAGAATTTTAATTGTTAAGTATTTAACAAAAATTTCAGCACTTACTTAATGGCTTCGCACATGTCTAATCCCATTTTCACACAATTCTTGGCATGATTTTGAAGAGATATAGGTAGTCCAGAAACACAGTAATAGCAGTCACCCAGGATTTTAATTCTCATACATTCATTTTCCTGGAGGAAAAAGCAATTTGAGACAATAAATTTTAACCTGAATTACATAAATTAAGGGTTACGGTTACAAAGGCTGACTTAAATGATGTTAGCAAAATCATTCTACTTAAGCTTGCTTCAGTAGAAAAGCTTAAACAAATAAGCTTGCTAAAAAAGAAGTCGTGTCAAAGAGTTTTGTATGGATGGTCCTTAAGGTCGTATGGTCCTTAATGGGCAAAACCAGGAAGGAAGTTTACTGAAAAACATGTATCTGCAGTAGTATTTTCACCTTAGATTAAAGAAGTGAGCCAAAGTATCATGTACTCAATCTAAAAAAAGTCTTACTGTTTGAAACACAAAATCAAAAGACCTAGCCTTCCACAGTTACAATTTTGAAGATGTATTATGCAATACTTTCTGAAACTAGCTATCATAATGGTATTTCCATCTTTGTACTCTAAGGCAATGTAAAGATTTATTTTTTTTTTACCAGTACTGGATGATAGTTTTCAAACTAATAAAAAACACAGAAAATTTTTATCTGTTTTAGTGTTTCTGATTTCACCTTCACACACAGCATTAAATTTGAATTTTTTTTTATAGCAATAACACCTAAATAAGGAGAAGAAAATCTTCTGATTGTATTTGAATCTTTCCTTGTGTAATCACGACACTGTGGTCAGTAATTAAAATTGCTTCGATCAATATTTTCTCTCTTGTCCTCCAGACTCTTAAATGTTTTTCCCGAGATCTGAAAACTGACTGTATCAATTTTCTATCTTGAGTTTCTTAATCCTTGCTACTATAAAAAAATCCATTTAAAGAGCTGTTCATCTGCCATTAGGCTTTGCTGGGCTCCACAAGCTGTCTCTATTGGTCCTGTTAGAGAGCTATCTTAGGTTTCACAGATTGTCACACTGGCAGAAACATGCTGTTGCACTCAGTCCAGAGCCAGATTTTCTCTTCACATGTTTCAAGTCTAATCTTCCTGCCAAAGCCTCAGAAAGGTTGCCTGAAGGTAAAAGAGTCCCCGAGAAGAAGAAAACATTTTAAAGATGACTCACTTATTTAAACTAACAGCAGCAGCCCAGTAGAAACCCACCTTTGCAATCTGATCAAACTTGCCAAACAGCTCATTTAGCATGTGCACCAATTCCCCTGGTGAGCAGTCACTGGCCAGGCGAGTGAATCCCACAATATCAGCATACAAGATGCTGCAATAGAAATGAACAGGAAGTTGGTCACGGTTTCCCCTTCTGCAAAATTCAGATTTAGCAATCAACAGCAAAACCTGAAAGTAGGCATTCAAGAATTCATAGAGGTATGCCAGTACCCAAAACAGCCATTGCTAAGTGTAGAACAATAACTATATTTATAGGTAAACATATATTTACCTTTATAGTTGTTACATTTATAGGTAATATATACCTATATTTTCCTTTGTAGGTATTACCTGTACAGGTATTACCTTCACAGATATACCTGTATTTATAGGTATTGATAGGCATTCTATACCTGTATTTGTTACAGCATATTCAAAAAATACAAATCATAATATAATAATAATTTGCACACAAATCAGCAATATAATAATGGCAATTATTTTAATAAACATGTTTATTATCAGAATTTGTTTAATAACTTTTTATCATTGTACACATTTTCTGTCTAGATTTACCTGTCAGTGATATGCAGCATGGAAGACTCTGTTTAGTTGTTACTTAGACTATTAAATTCAGTCTTGATTGCTAAGATATTCAATACACTATGTTTCTATTCACCAAGAAAGCTTGTTCAATTCATTGAATCAGGCTAAGGAAAAAGTATTTAAGCTTGCAAGTGAAAATGAACTTCCTCAAAAGTCCTGTAATATTTGCTTTAAAAAAGCAATTTCTAAGAATGTCATGCAAATTAGCTCATCCAAACACAGAATATTTTAGCTCAGGTACTGTGTCAAATACATATGTAATATAGCTGCCTCTATTTGCATTATATAACACCTGATAAATTGCTCCAGTCAAGAAAACTACAAATTTAGAATAATGTAACTGACATGAACTACAGTTTTGATGGTATACATGAAAGCAGGACTTGTTAATTTAACCTCAAAAACTAAGATATTATGAAGAAAGCCAGTTAATGTGTGGTTTTGTCTAAACAAGTCCTTTGTTTTATCAGCTTTGTTGCTCTTCCAGAACATGGAATTCTTAGCTTTCGATCAAATTAATGGATATTAACATGAGTGTTTTGAAAAACACATTAAACCAATTATTTTCTTAATTGCTCTCTTAACTTTCTTTTCAAAATTTCTCCAAATGTTGTTCATACATTTTATTTCAGTACGGTACCTTACATTGGTGTGCCTTTTCACATACAAATTGTGAAAGTTGTTCGTGTTTTCCAGCTGACCTGCCTTGGGACCTTGTAGCCTCTGAATGATCTCTGCTTTCATTTCCATGGCAATGTGAGCCGGCAGTAAAGAAAGCAGAAGACGCTCCTAAAATTTAAAATGAAATGTACACAATTTCTTTTAAGGAGAATGAAATTAGTATGGCAGCAATCCTGTGCAAAGCATATGCTATTGTCAATACTCCAGAACATTTTGATGAGGCTTGCACTCAGGCATTTGCCTGGTATGGCCTCCAAAATTAATCAGTTCCTTGAAGAACTTGACAGAGATAGACACACATTTCCTGACATCTAACATCTTCAAGGTTTTGTGTATATTAGAAAAATATCTGAAGAAGTTATACAGTAATGTATTTAATATCTGAGTACGATGCAGAAAATAGAGATTATCAAATAAAGCAAGAGCTGCAAGGATTCTTCAGAGGACTTCAGGGAAATGCAGTCCAACTCAGGCAAGAGTAGGCTAATAGTTTTTTAATGTTTAGTCATAGTTTCAGCAGTTGTTAGATTGAAAATGAAAAAAGATAAAATCAAGACACAGAACATATTGAAAATGTTGGACTTTTCCATACTATTTTGATATGTATTCTCCTCTTACTTTAATACGGCATTTGACAAATGGAAGTCTTCTGAAAATATTAACCTAAGAGGAAACAGATTTTTTTTTAAAAATCTTACATATTTTTCCTTATCTTTTATTGGTATTATATTTACAGTTTTCTCCTTGTGAATCTCTCTTACATCAGTGTATTTTAATTTAGCCCATTTTACCTGTGATAGCTTTTCATTGAGTTCCTACTCCTCTGTAAAACTAGATCAAGAGAATAGCTTGAACTCTGCAAAAAAACCCCCTTCCTGCTTTGATCATACTCCATCTCAAAATTGAACAGGAATTTCCCGTTTTCTCATAGGCAGAGCAGAGAGGCTAATTCTGGCTAAGCACAAGAAAGAGAAAAACAAAAAACCCTGCACCAGTGAGGAGGGGAGAGGCAGCTGTAAAAGCTCATGAATGAGCCAGAGAAAGAAACAGCTATGCCAGAAAAGATGGTGACCTCAAAATGTGCATGGTCTACAGGTGTTAGTTACAGTGATGGGATCTCTTTGGTTCAAAACATGTATTTTTGCAGAGTTTGCAGTTCTATTCATGAAGGTACCAGAAGTGTAACCATTAATCCAACACTCTGCCTGGGATAATTACTCCTGTTCGGGTCTAATGACCTTGAATAGAGCATGGCAATAACAGGGCTATAGACTTTCTGATATTTGGAGCTACCTCAGCTATCCATCTCTGTAATGTCTCAAGACTTCCCATTCCTCATAGCATTTGTGTACCAGTAAGCATAGATAGCATTTACTTACATGAGGCCCTATGAAACTGATCCCTCACACACTTCGTAAAAAACCCTCTATTTCATTCAAACAAGACAGAATTTTGCTTTGTTGCTAAATAATATTGAACTAATAATTTTCTTTCTTTTTCCTTTTTCTTTTCCCCAGTTTGGTGAGATCTAAAAATAATTTTGATTCACATATGTATGGACTGCTCTATAGTTTGCATACTAAAGCATATCACATAAACAGTAAGACAAGTCATGAAATAAATGTTCAAGGTGAAGCATACCTGTCTGTAGCCTGACTAAAGGAGGCGAGAATAAAAGAATATATGTACTGTTTTCCTACTGCTAGGATCTCAGATTTGACACATTGTAGTTGAGAAGAATATATACAATTGACTTAATAAAAATGTTAATGTGGTTTTATTCCATAAATGCAAGGTTAATTTAGTAAGTTTAGGTATTCCAGCAAGTACACATCCATGGGGCTGATGTATTTTCATTTCTAATGTAGTCCACTGGTCCTTTGTGGCACTATTTTGCTAAATTATAAAGAATACCTGCAAAACCAATGGGCATTTTTCTATAATGAAACCTTACTCTTGCAAGTATATAACAGAAATTTGTTGTTTTCTGATGTACAGGATGGGTCAGCACTTGGTAATAATTATCATTTAATAGCTTACAGAGGTGAGTGCTCTTAGCTCCAATTTAATATCACTGTGCCCCTGTAATACCATAGCTAGTAAATGCAAGCTGGTTCACTATGTTCCTATGACTCTGTTAAGATTCCATACATGCAGTAAGGCAGACACTCAAGGTCCAGGTTACTTCTTAGGTCTTTGAAACCCTGGGAGGCTGGCAAACGGTCAAAGAGAAAAGCAAAAAAAGTTTTCAAGAAAGCAGTAGAAAAGGTAATAGAAAAAGTTTTCATAGGAAGCAGTGTAACGTCAACTACAAGCTAAAGAATCACAAGAGGAAAGGGAAAACAGAATGCCCTTATTTTGTCAGGGAGAGCAGAAGAGATGAGATATTCCCCCCGCTTTTTCTCTCCAGGCCAGACCACTAATCCATTCTGCTTAAAGGTCCTGGTGAAGCTGCTCACCACAACAGAACTCCCCTCCAAAGAATTTTTTCCTTCCTCTATTTCCCCTGTACAAAAGAGAAATTTACAACCAGAGGTGGCTTTAGAATGTGTGCTTCACCAGTGTGGAACTGGTGAAGCACACTGCAAAACAGCCTGCCATGCCCAGCTACACCTAAATGGTTCAGCCACCCACTCCACGATCCAGGCTGGGAGCACTCACATATCAGTCCTGAAGTTACCAGCTGTCTGTTAATGTGTTACCAGGTCACATACTGCATTTCAACCAGACTGTTAATTTTGATTTCTTTCACAAAAACACAACTGTGAAAGAAGCTGAATCTCAACTACTTATGAAGACCGTGGTTGGTCTTGTCAGCTAGCCAAATCCAAAATGGTTACAAATACATTATTCCCTCTCTTTCTGCTAAAAGAGCTCAAAAATGCAAAGGATTTAAGAACACCTCTTCCTTCATGTTTTGTTATCTCTGGTGGCTAAAAATTGCATAGTGGAAGGATCAAAACCAACTACTAATCAGACTGTAGTGCCTGATGTGCACTAAAATTTCTGTAGACTGAAACAGTGAACATAGCAAATCAAGATTGCTGCCTATGATGGCTTTTTTTTTGATAATACATTCTGTACTATTCTCTCAGATAGAAAATCCATACAGCAAAAACTAGCTGAACTGACATACAAGGCTGACTTTGAGACAAAACACTTGCCTATTAGTAGTAGACAGAGAAGCCATTCTCAGAGCTGTAGTCTATAAGAAATAAGCTGAAGTAATTCTGAATGCAGGTCAAGATGCAGTATTTATAAGTCTTCTGACTAAAAATAACAGCACCTGCTTCTGGTGAAAGAGAAACTGCTGTGCTGTGGCAATAATGAAAATTCGCTTACAAATGTCTTTCTCTGACATATTACCAACATGATCTTACAGCCAATTCATGTGATTGATGTACAGAAGACTATTTCCTGACCATCCGTGTTCTCTGGGGCTCTGCTTTCCCCTCACCACTCAAATTACTTGTAGCTGAAATTTTTAAGTCCTAGGGATAAAAGACAGAGGACACAATCCATATGGATTACAAAATTGTAGTGTTTTTCAGCAGTGTAGAGTTAAGAACTCTTTTCTTCTCTGAACAAGCCCATCTCGATCCCAGTAGATGGCTAACAAGTAGCAATCCTCCCTTGATTTTCTAACTAAGGATTTTCAGTGGATCTGTCAAACTGTTACTTGAGTTCCTCTTCTCTCAAACCCCACACAGGGATATTTTTGCCCCTTACAGTGTCATTTAGGGCACTGAATATAGAATTCTACTTTTCTGTGGGTTGGGCTGTTTTCAGATTCCTGTGACACGTGTCTGCTCATCTATTTAGCAAGTTCGACAGAGCAGGTCAGTAAGTCAGCACTAAGAGCTCTAGAAGCAATTAGCCTATACATGCATCAGCTTCTCAACAAAGTTTACAAATAAACATGGACAAAATACCATTTTCAGCTGCCCTTGAAATATATCAGGAAACAACCTACAAAACAGGAATCTTGTGATTCCTGATCACACAGTGATCTATCAGTCATGTGGCTAATAAGAGATAGTGATCAACAGGATACTTGTTTGTCCAAATTACTGTACTGTTTACCCAGATCTCATGCACATTCTCTTAAATACACCTACAATGTTAAATAGCTGTAAATGTCTTTTTTCTTAAAGCTACCTCGGTCTCCTAACTGGGAGAGGAGACTGTTTTTAAAAATTAGGCACTATTATCCCCTTAAATTTAGCCTATATTAGTAACCTTCACCAACCTTATTACTTGTACTGACACCAGTAAATTGCATTTTACTCATATGCACCAAGAAAGGTATTTAATCATGATTGCAGAGGCATAAAGAGATGGAGAATTCATCAACTCCTTAGCTGTTTGTTCTAGTGGTTAATCAGCTGAACTATTAAACACTGTTAAAAAAAAATGTTCTGTATTTCTTATTTTGAGGTCTTGGTCCTGTTATCGCTGTCTCAGCTAAAGATTAATGTCCATACTCTTTTCCCTGTGAAGTTAAACACTGATCAGATAACTTAATTTTCTTTCTGATCAGGTAAACAGACTTGGTTCTATGAATCTCCTGTTCCTAAGTATTTTCTACACTCTCTTCTCTAAAGCCTCAAAAACCTTCAAACGTTTTTTGAAAGGTCATTTGACACAAATCACCACATTGTGCTACAGTAAACAAAGACATACACACACACATATACCCTCCTGCCTTCTTCCCCTCAACATGTCCAGAACTTCCACTGCACAAGTTCCCGCTGTAACATCTCTGTAGTTCCCTGTCTGCTATGTAGCCAAAATATTTTTCCAAGTTGCATACACTTTGCTTTTAGAATTATGACTTTCCAGACTGTTATTATAAACTGTCTTGATGGATATGATTTATAAAGTATTCAGTATTATGGTATTTACTATCAGATCAATATTTGGCTCTTCTGCAAAAATAACTGTGATTGCCTTCGTGTATCTCCTAGATCATTAATAAAAAATGCATAATAGCATAAATAATGAGAACTGGTTCTTGCAGAACATGACACACATGACAATTCATTGACCATCTCCACTGATAATTTCCAGTTACCCCACTCAAGATCCATTAGACTGTGCTCTTTTGA